GCATTTGGTATCACTCCGCCTGTGACTGGAGCCAGCGCTATAGAGGAGGCATCGGCTTGTGCGGCTCGGCTCCCTCCGCTGCCGCCTCGCTTCCTTTAGTGCTGGCTTCGTGATTCTCTCCCACGGCTCTTCAGGTTCCCCCTTTTGCCACCACCGGCCCTGGGAATGGTCACAACTAGTTCAATGTTGCCATTTCTTGTCATTTGTTTCTTAGGTCTTGCAATTTAGGATGTGGGGGCTCTTATAAAGGACCTAGTTACTGCAGACTGTAAGGTCTTAGTTGCTGCAGACTGTTTTAAAACAGAACTGGAGTGAAACTGCAAACATTCAAATACATATATATGTGGTATACCTGTAACCTGCAAAAAGGATAGACTTGTGTTCAACCAGTTGTGTGATCCCTGTCAGACAGAATGCCCAAGTTGGAAAGCTCACTTTTTTTTGACAGCACTGTGCAGAGTAATAGAGACTGACTGGTTTACAGTGCTGACCAACCTTTTCCCATCTTAAGTGCTGCCATAGGATACGAGTTCGATATCAGGAGAGATTCAGCTATTATTTCCAACTCCTCCCATTCAACGGTGTGTGTGTTTTTTTCTTACCTCTGCCTGGAGTTCAGCTTTTATGTCCTGTGGGGATTACGCTGCTGACAGGCTTGCAATTGTCAACAGGGAAATAACTAGTTTTCCGTGCCCCTATAAGCATGATGCAACTATTAAGAAGCCATGTCTGTAAAGCTAAGGACACGTTAAATATATGTCATGGGTTCATTCACTGAGACAATGAACCCACAAGAGCTGTTAATAGCAATTCCTACTACCAGCAACAACAATAACAGGCATAGCTTTTTAAAAGGGAATGCATCAACCTTATCAATGTTTTTCTAAACGCAAAAGTGATCAGTTTGACATAAATAATAATATCCATGTATGTTAATGTTTTAAAAAAACTTTTTTTCTATAAATCCGTAAATAAATGTGCACACAGGGAGCCTTTTTTTCTAATTACATAAGCAGACTCTGCTTCCTAATTTACAGCAGTTTACTTTACTGCTCCTTCTCACAATGCAAGTCAAAGAATCAGCTGACTCACTGAAGTAAAAAAGGTAATAGTAACTTAAAATATGCACTTATTGATTATACACTAATGCTGACTTTCAAAATCCTACAACCTCAGCTTCCAGTGCACCCCTAAAACCAGCGGTGATGTCACTGAGCTTTCTTTCAGGGTGCTGGAAGTCCCAAATCTTACTCCTTTGCCTAGACAAGCACACCGGAAGTTGGGATGTAAGGCAAGTATTACATAGTCATGTTGGAAAAAAGACACGTCCACCAAGTTCAACCAGCAGAGAAAAAAAAAAAAAAGAATAAAAAAACCTTCATAAACAGAACCCTCCTGGCCCAGTCACACCATATCCAGTGCATCCCGATGCAGTTCGTAGCCAAGAATGCACTGGAACGCATACACGAAGCAGGGTTGCATTCTGGGGTGGGAGGGATCCTGTCAGTGCCATTTATGTCAATGGCACCAAATCCATGTCAGTGCGATTGACCGCACCAGGACGCAGGGAACAGGAGTGCCCTCTGTTCCAGTGCAGTGCGATCTGAAACAATAGTGTGCACTGGAACAGAGGGCACTCCTGAGTCCTGTACCTCACGTTCCAGTACGTTCGATTGCACTGAGGGCGGGGGAGCATCTGTGGTGCCATTGACATGAATGACACCGAAATGCCCCTCCCACCCCAGAAAGTGGCCCGGTTTCATGTACAGTGGCAGCTCCGTTCACGAACTTAATTCGCTCCACGATTCTGGTCGCGAACCGAATCAAGCTGTGATCAGACCACGATCTCGACCATGTGTCAGAGCAGGGAAGATGGCTGCGGTTGTGTTCGTCACCCGATGTGGAATTTGCGAACGGAAGTAAAATTTTGCCGAACTTCCTGTTCGCAAACCGAATTGTTCGCGAACAGAAGCATTCGTGAACCGAGGTACCACTGTATGTGATCCAGCGCGTTCCGGGCGAGAACTGCACTGGGGCACACTGGATATGGTGTGACAGATTGTAGGATTGTACACAGGGCCATGATTAAAGGAAAGTACAGCTCAAGCCAAAACCTTTTTTTGTTGTTGGATAGAGGGAGGAAAGGTTAGATCTACTTCTGTCTGCACCCCATCAGTGAGATCCCGCTTCAATACCTGTTTTAGTAACCACTGTGATCTGTAAAATATTGGGCTTTCCCTTATTTTCTAATGTCCCCCAGCACAGGAGAAAATTGAATATTTTACAATGGTGGCAGCTGTTCTAATGACAACTGATATAGGATGGGATTTTTTCCCATATTTGGAAGCTTTCTACTTGAGGGAAAATCTCCCCAATGGGAGCCATAAATACTTGAAAGCCATCCTACCCCTTCACCAATTCTACCCTAAACTAATAAATCTAAATTAAATGATGGTGTAGGTCAAGGTATCCGCCTTGAATGTCAGGGGTCAGTTTTGGAGCATTTTTGTAAACTTTGGCAAGGGAAAGGGTTGCTTTGAACAGAAAAACAGTTATATTATATGTAAACATTCTATGCTATATGTACTTAAAGTAAGATATTCATGCATCCAAGCACAGCACTCAAACGTGCAATTTACAATTTCATGAGTTTGCCTGCCCTGGGAGCCTTGCCGCTGGACTGATGGCTTGGTGCAAACCCCATTGTTTAATGTTCTTTTACAGAGCATTTAAAACATGACAGGAAAAAGCTGCACTCTGATAACTGCCGCTAAAATAAAAAGACAGATCAGCAAGATCACAGCACCTGTGTTTTCATATGTGTGTGCTACACTCCATCTTCTGTTCAAACGCCAAGAACAATATTTGCCTTAATTCACCCAATTCAAGAGAGAACTCAAAAACTTTTACATGATGGTCTGATAACTACATAGTCCATAGCTTACATTCCCATAAGACTGAGGTTCCCATAACCTACCCTAGAGGAGTTCATCTTGAGCAAGGTTTTTACAATGCTTTTTAAAACACTTATTCAAACCTACTTAACCATTTCACTGAAATGAATGCCAACCCAGCAAAACAGATTTTACAACACTGTTACCCTCAAACAACTGACCCCTGGTGCTAAGAAATACAAACTTTTATTAGAAAAAGCAAAACCAATATTGATTATTGCTGCGCATTCAAATCCCACCAATCCAAATGAACTCTTCATAACATAATGGATTTGGGAGACATTAAATTGGTGGGTAAAGTTCCTCCTTAAAACAGTTACGTTTATGGTCCCATTCACACCTATATCTTTAGGTGCGCTTAGGAATTCCTGCATCAGGAACTTGTGTTTTCCTGCTGCAGGAATCCGTAATCTGCCGTTTACAAGCAGCAGCTGTCACCTGTTAATGATCGGGTGTCAGCTGCTGCATTTGAACGCCTGCACACCGCATATATTCATATGTGATACAATATAGGGCTTGTTTTCACCAGCCCGTGCGCTCATCGTACTGTCTTGTGCCCGGAACGCAAGGGATCGCATGCACAGTCTCCTTGAGTACTGGAGTGGGAGGGGTCGTGACAGTGCCATCCATGTCGTACCACACTGGATCACAGGGCATTTTATTACCCCGTGGTCCTGTGCGGCCAAAAACACTGTAGGCGGGGAGAGTGTCTGCAGTGCAACTGACATGGATGGCACTGCCACGCCCCCTCCAACCCCAGAACACAAGGAGACTGACTGTGTATGAGATCCCTTGCGTTTCGGGCATGGGAGAGTGCGATGAGCGCAAGTTCTGTTTGAGCCTCAAGCCAAGACAACCTGTGTTCATTTGGCACAGAATGTGTTACTTAATACATAAACACCACCCAAGGTGGTAACTTCAATACAGATATCTTTTCAAGAGGAAAACCATGTTAAAAAAACGTGCAATATCACATATCAACGTATCTAAAGGTGCCCATACACCTTACAATAATCTGGCAGATTTTTGTCTTTCATGCATGCCAGAAAGTGTTTGTCTAGTTGGACGAAAATGGACAGGTTAGTGGCGTTGTTGTACAACACAAATCTCAAGATGCAAACTGCACATGTTCAAAACGAAAATCTGTCCCTTTGATCGATGAAAATCGGCCAGGTGGTGGTGCCGACGAGCGTTAATTGCGAACTACATTGGTCTGTGCATGATGGGCTAGTTGTAAGAAAATTGAACGAGGGTGAGATGTCTGGACAAAAAAAAAGTTGTACAATGGTTGTGAGGTGTATGGCCACTTTAAGGGCCCATTCACACCACATCCAGACAGTGGCGCCACAAGGGGGGTGCGGCCTCTGAAAATTTGGGAGCTCGGTCATGGACCGAGCGCCCGACAGTATCAGGAGAGAGAAGGGGACCCGGCGACATATTTTATACCGCGGGTGACTGTCCCCTCCTCTCTCTGCCGTCGTCCATCACCAAGATGGCCGCTGGCAGGTATCAGAAGACTTCTGCGCGATGGCGTCACCGTGCACGCGCGTGGTGACGTCACTCGCATCCGCGGTGACGTCTCGGCGGGGTGACACTCGGTTACCGCTCCGGGTGTCACCCAGCCTCGGGACTCCCCTGCATCCAGATAATCTCCAGACCAGACTGTTTCCTAGACCCAAAATGCATCCTAATGTATCCCTATGCTATATCTGGCCTCTGTTCACACCAGCTCAGTGCATTCCAGACAAGACAAGAAAAATACTGCATGTCTCTTTTTGTCTGGTCTGGAATGCACTGAAACTGCAGGCAGGTGCACACCATTTTCCCGGACAAGATCTGATCTGGAAAATGGTGTGAACCTGCCCTTAGGAAAGGATTGTTTTATTCTGTGCCGGGCCATAACAACCAATATTCCTTTGCAGTATGGGAAAAAGAAATTGAAATTGGGGCTACACAGATCATTCTTCCCAACGGACAGTTGTGTTTCAGCACCACAGCCAGGTAACACTTAAGTATCAAGAAGAAGTATAGCTAAATATATCTTACTATTGTGCGCAGTCAATGAGTTGATATTCGTTTGACCTCTCAAAGCAAGCCTTCACACCGTCATCATCCCATAACTTTTGTGCATGTTCGAAAAATTCCTGAAAAAGGAAAGAAAAGTCATATTAACAACACAATCAAATGTGTTGTCTGTACAAGCACACTAATACACCATAGGATATGTCTAGCTGACAATCCTTTTTAGCACATAATAATGACAAAGTGATGATTATTAGGTTCTAGGCAGCAGTTTAATTAAACACTGTATACAATTTACTGCTAATATTCTGCGTGCATTAAATAAACCTGTCCACATGTTATACTGGCTTGGTTTATGCAGGTGACAAAGCGTATCCAAATTGTCTTCATAAATGTAAAACCTAGTATACAAACTTCCTCACTGCAATTGCTTTATTAAAAAATGTTAAATATGTTACACATGTAAAAGTGAAATACATCCAAAACACTTTTTTTGTATATTTTGTAAACAGGTGGGGAAAGGTTAGAACCGCTTTAAGATTTTTTACTGCTGTAATGATAAACTTTGCAATCCTTCTCTGCTCTAAGAGTAAAAAAAAAAGGTGTTAATTTCGCTGTGAGAGCGACATTTCCCCACTACCTGTCCCAGAGATCGCACAGGAAGTGAAGTAAACTCTTCCCAATGCTGCATACAAGAATAAAATCCAAATCCAGAGGCTCTATTCCTACTAAGCCTTCACTCCTCTCTTCAAAGCTTCATCAAAGTTCCATTTTAGGATGTACAGAAGACATCCAGTAAATGAGATTATTGTACTTTACCAATATAAGTCCAAATTAGTACAAACATGTGTGTACCTAAAATGTACAGTAACAGTTATTTGACTCATGTATATAGGCGTTGCTGAACCCTGCCTTGGGGCGGCAGGGAGGGTAAATCCGGTCCAGTCTGCATGATTTGCACATTATTAAACAGAAGATATGAAGAAGAACAAAAAAATTTAGGTTACTACTATCAATACAGTAAATAATGTATGCTAATAATTGCATGTTGCTAATGTATTTTAGCATAGAGTATGTTGTTAATGTTTCTTTTTTTCCATCAAGGTCAGTTGGCAAGAGAAATAAAAGGAATGAAACATTCACAACATTTATCTACAAAGCATGAGGACAAATTATGCTCCTTTTTTCTTGCTCGGGAATATAGTATCAGATCAAACCAACCGTAATATGTGGCTAAATCAGCTAGTCTGTCCTAAAGTTAGGGGTTTCACTGAGCCCCGCGTGCTATGTTCTAAAGAGTATGGACAAAGAAGAATGCAGCTACGCTAACAGAGCAAGGACAGCTTTACTTGTGATTGATGGGGTCACCTCCAATTGTACACCTGGCTCCATAGGTGAGGTGATGGAGCAGTTGTACAAAGCACTGTAGCAGTTCACCGGGCTGGGCAATCCCACTGCCACATGTTTAAACAGGCATTATCTAATGCTGGGGTAGTCAAACTTTGGGAGGGCTGTCAGAATACAATAGCTGGCAGGGGAGATTTGAGGGGGAAATCAAGTGATTCCTCATGCTTAGCCAACAGGGATAAACAACTTAAAGTGATAATAAACGTTCCAAATCTTTTCTATAATGAATCTATATCAAACAAATATACATTTCCCAGTAAAGTATTTCTATAGATTTTTGCCCACGCACTGGCAGTCATCATATTTCCAAAGAACTGGCTCCAACTCTTAGCTCAGCTTCCCTGAACTTCCTGTCTAGTACAAGATCATAAGGGACAGAGCAGTCTCCAGCAGCCTTCCATCTACTCGCTTGGAGAAGGGAGGAAAGAAGGAGGAATGGGTAGCTTGGGAGTGACTTGCCTTGCTCTGCCTGTGTGTTTGGGGAGATGCCCACAGCTTACTAGCACACACAAAAGGTGGCTCTATAGGGCCCTGCAAGGGAAAGGAGCCACCCTAAAAGAAGATATGTGGCCGGTGCTCAGGGGACCAGCTGATTCTGCAGAAAACAAACTTTTAAACATCAAGGAGCAGAATCTGTTGTAAGCGATTTAATGAGCATTTGAAATAGCACAAAAGACTTTAATATCATCTTAAAATGTATGGCCAGCTTTAGCGCTTGGCTTTTTAGATATAGCAGCCAGCTTTGCGAATGATAAAGCCACCCAAAGTCATACAAGCCCTTCACTGATCATACAAAAAGTGGAGCACTGACGAGGAATACCGTGAAATTATTGGGGTAATTTTATCTGCTGGTCATGCATACAGACAATAGCAGCTTGTTTTGTGCAGTGCTAATAGTCAGCAGATGAAGTTTTCATAATTGTTAGCAAAATAGGCAACTATAAATGTGTATACTATACCATGCTAAAATGAAGGGAAACCTATTTCCACTTGGCTTAAAAACGTGTGAAGAATTGCTAGAACTACTTCAAGGTAACCTCCATATCCAGTACACCAAACTTCACATGATAAAAGGTCCATGAAATGTTCTTCCATGGATGTATTAGTTGCCTTCAATATCCATTTTTAGTTTTGGATAGGGAAAGGAAAAGGCTCTCCCCATTTGAGAGAATTTCCTTCATTTCCTGCCATGACACAACAGGAAGTAGGAGGAATCCTTCTGCTCTGGTGACAACTGTGAAATTTTGGAGTTGCCATCCCCTTTATGTTTTAATGACAATGGTCACCAGGAAAAATAGAGGTTGAATCTCCCCAGTGGAGACACAGACGAGGGGTTTTAATGCTTCCCTACTCCATCCAAAGCTAGAAAAATGTTTTGCCAATACATACACTTTACTATTCAGCATACACTGGAATCTAATAAATAAAACAAGGTTTGAAACTAAAACAAGGTTTAAAATCTCCAGCCTAAAGACTTGTGTAAATGTGTCTTTAAACAGGAACATCTAAACGCAGGAAAAAGTCATCCGGGAACCAAAAAAAGGAGTTTACAATTCCCAGATAACAAAACTTCTTCCTTGTGCAGCTGAATTATTCCCTCATACTTTACAGGAATTTCATTTCCAGCCTGATAATGCTCCTTGCCATACTGTCAAGGCTGTAAAGGACTGGTTTTCATCAAGGGAACCATTGAAAACTTCCTGGAAGACTAAAGCATGGTGTTGGAAAAGAAAGACCAAAAGACAAACAAGAATTCATAGAATTTATAATAAAGTGCTCGTATCATACTATTACACCAGAAGAACTTAAAGTGACACTAAACTCAGGAGTTGTATCATAAAACTGCATTCAAGTACCTTATCTATTAACAAAAAATGTATCTTATTTGTGTATCACTCGGCTGTAGATCCTCAAATCATCTCTGAATTCATGCTGACACTGTTCTTCCTTCTTGAGGGCCGGTTCACACCACAAAGAATGCTTTCCAGAGCGTTCAGCCTCTGGAACGCACTGGAATGCAAACCAGCCGCCTCCCTGTGTTCAGGGGTGGGAGGGGGCGTGGCAGTGCATTAAAGTAAATGGAGCCGCAGTCACGTGCCCCGCCCGCACCTGAATTGCGTTCCAGTTCAGTGCAATCTGCAAAAATAGCGCATGCAGCATTTTTGCAGATCGTGCTGGACCGGAACACAGGCACTAAAGTGCCACGTGTTCGGGTGTGGGGCGTGGCTGCGGTGCCATTGACTTTAATGCAAAGCCACGCTCCCTCTCGCCCCTGAAGCGCAGGGAGCCATCCGGTTTGCGCTCCAGAGGCCGCATGCTCTGGAAAGCACTCTTTGTGGTGTGAACCGCCCCTGAGGGTGGCTGCTTTTGTTCCCCACGGTCCCTCACAAGGAAGAGGACAAGTGTGCCTCCTCTGTCAGTATCTTTGCTGCTTTACATGCTTTTCCACAATAACACAGTATAAAGAGTTACTTACGTATTACACCAGCTGCAATTACCTGTGGATGACCGCACCAGGACACAGTTCTTTTTCATCAAGGTGTGATCATCTGAAGGTAAATCGCAGTATGTGCAAATGTGTAATTTTATTGTAGAGCCCATTCTGCCAGCAGCAGATCGCACGAGTCTCCATGAGACTCATTCGATCACCCTGTGTGGCCTAAATCATCACACTGGTTCATCTCAGATCATAGGAGGAAAAAGTGGAAAAATATTTCACCTATGACTTTGCGTTGTTCAAGAAACTTTTGGACGATTTCTTAAGGGACCGTAATATACAGGGGTACAGGTACTCCTAGAATGAGATCCTAATAGGTTGGACTTGATGGACTAATGTCTTTATTCAACCTCAAATACTATGTAACTATGTAACTTTAGATGGGCTTTTAGGAGCATGGGTGACCAAGGAAAAATAAAGAACTACATCACCCACAGTCATCAACAAAAACCCGTCATTGCTCTGATTTCATGTCTTGTGCTTCACTAAAATACACACAAAATTGAGTCAAGTTTCCATAGAGGGGAGGGTAAAGCTGACTATACACCAGTGAAATTTCATTCGAAAAAATTGTTTTTAAAAATGTTCGTTACATTTTCTAAAAGTTAATCGGGTTAAATCGAAGATTGATTTTGACCGTGGTGATGGCCTGAAGTGATTGCATTCAAGAGGGTTGCGGTTAGTTTTGAGGGTTTGGAGTCAGTGTCTCTGTCTGGTGTCCCCATGGTCTTCAGTCTCCTAAATTAGCCGGCCATGACTTAAAATTCCATGTATGTAGACAGGAGTTACTTCATTCAGGCACCCGGCTTTTACTTATGGCATCTGTAAGATGCCAGGATTGTACACTGCACTGTGCATGTGCAGCCGTCTGCACAAATAAAACTAAATTGCTAGCAGGTAGACAAAGAGGTTTTCTGGTGTTAATCTACACTAATATTAAAACTATATTCATATAATTAAAGAGCATGAAATGGAATTGCAAATTATATAAAAAACACAGGAAGCAGCTTTGGCAGTACAGAGATAGTCAATGCTTCCAGTGACAGAGTTGGTCAGCAGTAAGAACTGAGCACACAATGCTATAGCAATATTAGGTTACATGGTTACATGGTTGCAATAGATTTGGCAGAAAATGATGACAATTGCTTTGAAAAATATAATTTCTTTGGACATATCCCCAAAACATGGGACTGTCCACAGCTGGTAACACCTATGTATCTACCATAAACTGGTATTGATGTCAATAAATAGAACTCACTGAGGAGTGTGAGCAATGTGCTATACTTGGTTCACCACACCAACATATGATATTTTTATTTTTTATGCCTCAAAGGGAATGAAAGCACCGTTAACATATATTAACCCTAAAAAGACGTCAATAACTGCAGATGTGCAGATAATTCAAACAAAACTAAACCTAAGATTAAAGTGACATTAAAGTAAAAAAAAATGTTTCCCTCCCCCCCATGTTAATGTCAGCACTTACCTTAAATGATGTCTCTTAATCCGATCTTCTTCTTTCCTGATGTTTTCATCTGTCCCTCCAGCGGTGCGGCGGCTCTACGATCCAGCGCTGACTCCTCTCTGCTTGCAGGCACTTCCGATCCAGCGGTGTCTGCATGCCGGTGCACGCGTCCATAGACTTACCTTCGTCTCTGCTCGTCTCCAGGCCGAGAATCCGAACAACGCATGCGCCCGCCCCAAGATCCTTAGCGGCCGCACAAACAGTTCTGGATTCTCGCCGCGGGAGCGCGCAGCGATAACGAGGTAAGTTTAAACCGCTGTTAAAGTTTATTTTTTTTGCCTATATCTACTGCTTGCTAGCAGTAGATATAGGCAAAAAAAACGGGAGGCTTTAGAACCCCTTTAAGTAAGGTACAACAGTTGCCTGACCCAAAATGCAGAATCTAGAACCTAAAACAAATTTGCTGAAATGTCCACAGAAAATACACCTTTCAATCTGGCTCCATAATTTGAAAAAAATATATATTTTCATTCAAGGGGGTTATAGTGATGACATGCTTCCCTATACTAACCCTGAGATGATGGCGTCTTTTGTCACTACACACACACCTGTACTTAATCCACTTCCTCTAAACCCTTGATTCTCAACTGGTGGGTCGTGACACAAAAATGGGTCGCGACCCTGTGTTCAGTGGGTCGCCGCGTGGCTTCCACTTTTCTAGGCGAGAGGCTTCTCAGCCTCCCACTTGTGCAGCACAAACAGTTCTTGCGCCAAGCAGCCATGCATATGCTGCTTGGCACAGAGTGTTAGCTTAAAGTGGGCTGAAGCTATGGCCACAAGGAAGCTTCATCAATACGTGCATTGCTTACAGCTTCCTCGCATGTCCTGTAGAGGTGCCTGGACCAGAGTGCCATCATGTTCTGGTTCCCGGCATCTTGACAGGGCGCGCAGGGGGGTTGTACAAGCAATGCACCCATGGATGGAGCTCAGTCACAGCACAGCAGCCCACACTGGACCCCAGGCTGAGGATCTACTTTAGTTCTTGTAAGGTAGAGCTGGATCTTAAATGTAAAAAAAAAATTGGGGGGGGAGGGAGTGTATATGTGTTTGTGAGGTTGCGTTTGTGGTTGTGTGTGAGATTGTGTCTGTGGCTGTGTGTGAGATTGTCTCTGTGGCTGTGTGTGAGATTGTGTCTGTGGCTGTGTGTGAGATTGTGTCTGTGGTTGTGTGTGAGATTGTGTCTGTGGTTGTGTGTGAGATTGCGTCTGTGGTTGTGTGTGAGATTGTGTGTGTCTGTCAGTGTTTTTGAGGGCCCATTCACACTAGGACAGTGCGTTAATCGAACAGTCCTGTGCCTTTAACGCACTGTACCATGCAATCGCACCTACTACGCCAGGGGTGGCAAACTCCGGCCCTCCAGCTGTTGTGGAACTACAAGTCCCTTGAGGCTTTGCAAGATTCTCACAGCCACGGGCACGACTCGCAGAGGCAGATGCATCATGGGATTTGTAGTTTCACCACAGCTGGAGGGCCTGAGTTTGCCACCCCTGTACTACGCATTCTGGTGTGGGAGATGCGTTGCGTTGTCATTCATTTGAATGGGACCCCAAACGCATCTCCTGCCCACAGTTCAACTGCCCACACTGGAACACACGGTACCGCAATGCAACTTAATGACCAAGGATAAAATGTGGGTCCTGAGGTTACACATGTTGAGAACCACTGCTCTAAACCATCTCTGTAAGGGACTATGCTCACTTTTTTTCACAACTAGCAGCAAATGGAGCGTCCAGGGTGATTTCTCCAAATCCTGAATGGCATGACAAAGGCAAGTACATTAGTACATGAGCTTTGAAAACACCAACATAAAGAAAATGATGAAATTTAAAGTAGAACTAAACATACTGCAGGTACCGGAGCCCATAACAGATCCTTTGTTATGTCTTTGACTTGTAGACAATGGCCCTCTTTCCTAGACTGTAAAGAATTACCAGAAAACACTATCATGAGCTTATACAAGTCTGCAGCTTAATAAGCACAGAGAGTACTGAAAATTGGTTCTACATGATGGCACCCACTCAGCACATCATATATTTTTCTTAAATAATGCTGTTCACAAATTAATTTCCACATTGTATTTGGCCTTACACTGTATGAGAAAACATACTATTCAGCAATTGTTGATTTCTGGTGCAGAGAATATTTAACTTTTTTTTGCTTCTTTTAGATAAACCCGGGTAATTACGGAATGGAAATAATCTAAGAGGGCTATTTTTAGAGTGCTTACTGAAGTCACTGCAGAACAAAGTGTGAAAGCCAACTGTAAATAATAACAGTCTTTTGTACTCATGGTAACATTTCCACATTGTATTATGACTGATGCTGGTTTATGTGTAAATATGAATAGTAGGAAGTGCAGCAATGTACTTAGCTTGGGGTATATACAGAGGTAGGGGATCCTTAACCCTAACACAATGGTAACGTTTTTATAAATCAACCTTTCGACCGTGCAAACAAGCAAGTCTCTTGTGTTGCATTACATCTGTTCCTTGTGGGACTAGTTTCATAAACCAAAGGCTCCATGATCATTCCCTTTGGCTTAGGCAGTGTGAAATACTCATCTTTGGCAACACCCAAACCTCTAACCACTTGCACTATCACAGCAACAACATCCAAACAAAGAAGTGTTGCCACTTAAAACATAACCCTGCCCCATTAGGAGTATTTAATTTTTCATCAGCACTTTCATCAAATCATTCATTAGCACTCATGCTATGGCAGAAGATTCATTAAAGCCATTAAAGAGCAGCTACCTTAGCACCCAAAGGATGTGCTTAATGATAACAATCCCAGCCTTCTCGTGCACCTGCTCTGGTGCCAGCTCCATTAAATTGCCACCCTAGGGAGGAGACAAGTTTTACTGCACCCCCAACCGAGTGCTTCTGCTGTAACTTCTAGGTGTGCAATAATCTTGTAATTATCTTACTAATTAGCAAAGTATTTTGGTAAGCAATGTCAACAGTTCGCATGCCTACAATTTTAATCAGTTACATGGGTACAAAGCATAAAGAAAGACAGTCCAGAACAGAGAATATGGAACCAAAAAGTAGTTTTGAAATCAAAATGTCAAAAAATGCAGTCATATCAGAGATGGGTCAATTAGGGTGCAATTCAAGAGATGAGCATGAACTTCTAACAAACCAAACTAAAGGTGTTTTTTTTAACCAAATAGTCAGATGACAAATAGGTTGTTCACTTAGCAAAACGTATTTTCACTTTCCAAGGGAATTTCCCCTTAGTTTACTAAATTAGGTGCAGCCCTGTTGGCTTCCGTCATCCAATCACGTGCAAAGAAAATACTCTTTTTACATTTTTTTTTTGTATTTACTTGTTTGTAATTGGGTATTCTTCTCAACACTTTCAACACATTCACTAAGCTAAGTGAAAATTCACTTTTCCAAGTAAACATCCTTTAGTAAATAAACCTCTAAATAGCCAAAGGTTTTGGGATCCCTAACCATCACACCTATATGAGCTTGTTGCAACCACTGTAACCAAAGTCCTCCTCCTGCTTAGTGATTCATGCAACTGGGCTGTAGAGGATCCCTTGTAACTGTGCTTTTTCATCAGTGTTAATTTTGACAACATAGTCTTTTGACTAAAATGCCATTTAGTTTTAGTCATATTTTAGTCAACTGAATTGTTATAGTTTTAGTCGACTAAATCTACAGTCGGTTTAGTCTACTAAAATCTAGTTTAGTTAAAGAGTAATTTAAGAATATCTCTAGAATTTCCAATTTCATTATATACTCCTGGAGTAAACATCTGTTAACCTGCAGTTACGTATGGTATTAACATTTGAACATGCAATACAGACACAGATTTAACTGTTGTGATATATAACATTGCCTTATTTACCTTAAAATTAGATTAAGCCAAGTCTTATAAAGAAACAATAATATTGAGTATTTTCAACAAAGGACCAGTAATTAGATATGCATTGGTTATAACAAGTTGCATATGACAGTCTTCATTCTTTCAAGAATAAGTGCAACTCTAAATTATTATTAAAATGAAAAACTATATTGGCTGTAATTACCTATTAGCCGTCCATTCAGGATGGAACCGGAACTGGAAGTCCAAAGAGATTAGTTCTGATAGGATCTCTTCCCAAATATTCTCTCCCTAACATTTTAGTCTAGTTTTAGTTGACTAAAATGTCAATATCTTTTCGTTATAGTTTTAGTCATCATAACCTATTTTTTTTTTTGCTGTTGACAAAATCTATGCTGAAACCATTAGTCGAAGAAATGAACACTGTTTCTCATAAAAGTGCACTTACACTTTAAGGCTGATCTCCAGCCAGGAACCCACCACCACCACATTTGCCCAGAGGTAAGCTTTGAAATATCTTGGCACATTATAGCAAAAGTAACAGCAAGCACTAATATGCAGCAAAATGTGTGCGACTGGAAGGGCCATATATTTACTTCTGAAAGACATCATGGCTCCTTAAAGTAGTATTAAGGTCTGGCCGTTTTTTTTACCTTAATGCATTCTCTGCATTCTGGTAAAAACCGCCCAGAACCTTTTTCTCCCTCAGTCCCCCCACACTTACCTGTCAGTGATCCTCCGTTCCCCATACTTCCTGCTTGCAGGGGGAGGATACTGATGGCAGAGCAGCCATAGGCTCCTTCTGCTATCAAACTGCTGGTCTGAGAGAAGGGGTGTGGCCTGCCACAGAGCATGGGTGCCTCTGTTAGCTGATGGAGGCACCCACTTGAAAATGAGGAATTTAAAACTTTTAAAGAAAAAGAACAACAGCCTCAGGCAAAGGTGGGTCTCCTTATTGCAAATATTTTTTTTTAAAAAGCAAGGTTTAATTTTGTTTTAAAAGAAACCTTTCCTGATTCAGGTTGATATGTTGTCCTGCTGTAAAGCTGACCCGCTAGTTTCAAATCATTAACAGGGTTATTCAAAAAGGGGTGAAGAGTTTCGTAAAATGGTTACCAGTGGCAGCCTCCATATTTCTCTAAGGAAAGGTTCACATTAAAACCTTTACAGCCAAGGAAGGTACCATCTTAGCCTCTGTTTGGACTAGTTGCCATGGTGCTACACATGTGATCAGCTAAAACACCAGCCTTTGAAATTTCAGCTGAGAGATGAAATAAGCACACTGGCAACCATAACAGTTGGCATGCCTTAAAAGTAGAGGCGCACCGAAATGGAAATTTTAAAACCGAAATAAAAAAAATGTCAGGCCGAAATCGATACCAAAAAAAAAAGGGAGAAAAGCCCAGCATACTGTGACAGCGCTGTCTCCGCCCCCACACCGCTCTGCCGGACTGTGATAGGCGGCAGAGCGGTGTGGGAGGAGACACCGGCCACTCACAGCGCTCTCCACCGCAGCGCTCGGCCGTCACTTTCTCTTCTCCCCGCTGGGACATAGAGCAGCGCCCAGCGAGGAGAAAAGAAATCACGGATGCGCCGATGTATCGGCAGGAAAATTGCACTTTTGGCATTATGCCAAAAGTGCAATTTTCGGCCGATATGTTTCGGCGGCCCATATATCGGTGCATCCCTACTTAAAAGTAAAGGTGCCCATACACTGTGCGATTTTCATTCGGAAATCATACATGAACGGCCTTTTCAACCACAATTGAACAGCTGATGGTATATCACCGGATTTCCGTTTTTGATATTATGATCGGTCAGGTTGGAATATTTTTCTCTGACTGAACAAAAATCGGATGAATCTGGGCTTTTCATCCGTCAAAAAACTCTGCAAGAACACAGCACATGGGCAAAAGGAAATTATTTAGTTTATCAAAAATTGGTTGGTTAGTATGGCTAATGAACGATTTCCGAAATCGACATTTGTCTATGCTTGATAGGGTACTCCAGCTATAATCAAACGAGGGTTTGTGCCAGAAACTAAAATTTCGGACCCAAAATCTACTAGTGTATACCCGCCTTACCTGTTTTGTTAAATTGCTGGGTCAAGTTCCACTTTAAATACACTGATGTTGTATGCTATGTAACAGAAATCAGGTGATCTGACAAACACTGACATGAACCCCCAACGGGCCATGTTACATAGAAACCCTCTTTACTTTAACCTATGGAGATGTCCAAGAACTCCGGTATATAAAAATAGCAAGCTGCTGTGTGGAAATTAGTTGATGATTTGTAAACACCATCTCCCTCTGAGACTCTCAACAAAGCAAATCAGTGGTTCTATATACAAGATGCTGATCGGTTCCTGTGGGAGTCATTATGTGTCACAGAACATAAAAGATGTCCCACATGGCCGTTCACACTTAAGCAAAGCAAACTCTCCAGTTGTGACAACACCACACAATAGAGAAATGCACAAATAATAATGAGTTTCAGGCCATTTTTGGAGTGTCACCACACCATAGTTGGGCTGATGCTGAATGTTTTTTGCCGAGGGTACAATCAACAATTTGTGCAAAATATAATTTCCTGTACTTTCTTATACAGTGGTACATCGGTTCATGAACTTAATGTGTTCCACGATTCTGGTCCCAAACCAAATCGGTTGCGAACTGAATCAAATTTCCCCATAAGGTTTAATGTAAATAAGGTTAATCTGGTTCTGAACCATATGTAAATTCATTACCACTCTGGACTTTCTTTTTGCCACCAAGCTTGCTCTGCACTTTCTTTGGAGCCATGCTGGATTGAATAATACTGTACAGTACCGTGCTAAAAAGCACACAAACAAAGCTTCACAGCAAGTGTGCACAGGTCTACCTGTGACTGCAATCTCGACTAGAAGAAGCCATGCTCGTCACCCGATTTGGAGTTTGCGAACAGAAGCAAAATTTTGCTGAACTTCCTGTTTGCGAACCGAAGTGTTCGGGAACCCAGGTATTACTGTACTTATTCATGGTAACGAGGAGGGCTAAGCCAGTACATGGACAGAAACATAGAAGATATTTATTGTTGATGAAGATGCATAGTTTAATGTAACTTAATTCCTGGTCTACTATGAAAAGTCATACAAAGCTTATTAAACAAGGCATGAGCAGTAAACCCCACCAACAAATAACACTTTATACTTCACTGATGTGACTATGGTTTCTACATAATATTACTGTAGAATATCAACATCCCATTTTTGCAATCCTTGATTAAATGTGTCCAATAAAAAAAAAAATGTTTTCTTACAAGAAGGCTTTATTTAAAACATTTGAAGATCTTTGAATTCATCCAGCATATATAACACTTTCAAGAAGCATTCTTTTTTGAATCCCCTAAAGTACCTTTAAATTGCAGTCTGATAGTGTGGAACACAGAGCAGATCTAGAGAGCTCGACCTGGCCTACGGGTAAGTACTGAAATGTACTTATGTTAGTCTTCAAAGTCATTCTTAAGGAGCCTCTTGGGTCCTAGGGCTTCGACGTCTGCCAAGTCAAGAGTAAGCCCTGCCCCTTCAATCTCTGGCATTTGACAGCCTAATGGCAGGTGTGAAGATTTAGTGCTGGGAAGGGGCAGATCCTAATCTTAAAGGAGGGAGAAAGAAAGAAGCTGAAGCCCTGTGTACCACCTGCGCCTATGACGCAAGCAGCTCCACATGGACATTTAGATTTATATGTGGACTTACAAAAAGGCACTCTAAGGCACCACAAGGTGCCTGAATTCTGGCACTATTGTTACCTTAGGCACCTGTTAGAGCAGGTCAGGAATGCAGACTTTAGCATTTGATTAGTATGCCTTAGTTAGTGACAAAAAACCTAAAACAAAAACTCAAACGTTTAAATTTGCCTTTTTATTAGACCGGAGCTCTTCCTAGAGTAAGATTACTTATATTGGGGGAGTAAAAGAACATCTCCAGGCAACAAATGCAATCAGTGAACTGCTAATGCCATCTTTGAAATACTAAACTGTGCAAAAGCCAGCAATTCCATTGAATGTATTTGAGATTATTTAAATCTATCAGATCCTTAAAATCTGAAAGAACTTTATATGTGCTTCTAGACAGCATAACAGCATTGGCAAGGGTTAAAAAAAAACAACAAAAAAACTTGGACTGCACATTCAGATAGTTTACCATTTTCTTTACCAGCTTCATAATGTGTAGTGCAATGAAACTGGTTGGTTTTTAGGGTGAGGCCGTGTCATTGTGTGCTGGTTTATTAAACACTAATCTAGCACACATAAAAACCTAAAACTAAGTCACTGACATGGAACATTTGTGCATTTTGGGGAAAGCTAGAGATAGCTTACATACAGATATGTTTCTTGTCAGCAATATAGCCAGGCATCTAACATTTTCAGGAGGAGATGTCATATTGCCATATTTCTCTCAATTCAGATTTACTTAAAACCTCAACCTTTATCTCCAACCCGAGC